TTGTGTTTGTGTGTGTACATATATATATATATATTTTTGTGAGTGTGTGTGTGTGTGTTTATATATGTACATATATATATATATATTTAATATATATATATATATATATATATATCTGTTCATATATGTACTCATATTTATATTTGTGTATATATATATATGCCTATGTGTGTAAATGTGTACGCATTTTAGTATATATATATATATATATATATATATATACGCGTGTGTGAATATATATTTATATTGAGTATGAGAATGAATATGAACATCTACATTTACATCGATGACTACTTCTACATATGTACGTATTTGTGTACATTTAAATATATATATATAAATATATGTCTGCGTCTGTATGTGTCTGTGTCTTTGTCTGTATGTATGTATGTATGTATCCTTACATATATATATATGTGCGTGTGTGTGTGTGTGTATGTATGTATGTGTATATATATATATATACTACCACTTGTATATATATGTTTCTATATTTAATTGTTTTATTTTATAGTATATTTACTTATATGTGTGTGTGCGTGCGTGCGTTGGTATGGATTTGTATATTAGTAAATATTCATCTTTATGTGCAAAATAGTAAATTCGAATTAGAATATATTTGACTGATTGCCCTTTCACATTGAAGTGATAGAGACTTGTTTGTTGGACCAGTTTATGTATGCGTTAATTTGGGCATGCAACCTTTGTATTGGAAAGTGCGTCATGAAAGGTTGAGCTCAGTTGCGTAAATTGTCTACTGAAAGCATCATGGATGTTTTTTGCCCAATAATGTACATACACTCTGTACGGAGATTTCTAAGTTCACTTGCACAAATGCGCAGAAAGTACACTCAATGGTTTTTTTTCCTCAGTGGCCGACGTTTGTTATGTAATTTCTTAATATCATGAAGGTGGTTGCTTCACGTCAAGCACACAACCTGGTGCGGATACTATGCTTGATGCGATACGTTGTTTCACTGAAATCATTTAGCTGTTATTTTGATCTTCAATATGTTTTACCTCGATCAGTTGAAACTTGCCGTGAGCGTCATTGGCTACTGATATTGTATACATTTGTACGAACGCTTTGTACTCTTGTGCGTGTTCTCGACCGGGAAGGCGACTGAACTTCGCCTCACATTATTATACCAGTCGCTGCTAATCGAGTAGCTGTGTACTATACGTCTGCTGCTTTTAATATAGTTTCAAATGTGGCATTAACCGAACTCATCTATCAAACAGGGTGCTGTTTGTCAGCTCGTTCGGTGGGACACTGGCCGTCAACTTTGGTTTGGTTCCATCTGGATATATCTTCCTCAGATGGGATGATATCTATTCAAATTTCCAGGTATGCTTAGTGATGTCCGGATTGAACCTTGAGCAACGAACTTTTATCACGCACCTCTGGTTTGAAAATTTTTTGTTCATAGAGTTATTCCAGGAACATTTTCTGGTTCTGAAACTCGATTCGACAACCCTGGTACTATTCGACGAGTGCTGGATACTAGGATAGTTGTCACATATACATGTCTTGCCACCCAGTTGCAGTGGATCTCTAAACTATATAATTTAAACTTGTTATTGTTCTGAATCGTCGTTGTAGGTTCCCCTGTATATCGTGTGTATCGAACATATCGAACATTTATAGCCCAGAAGCATGCATTATTTGAGTTTGTACGTGTCGGATACGAACCCTGTCCTCGATGTATTGGGCAAGACCACTAACGTATTGCGCTTACAATTGTTCTTCCACCTCAGATTTGGCGATTCTTCACGCCGTTCCTCTTCTATGGTAAGCTGGGATTCAATTTTATAGTACATATGATATTTTTATATCAGTACTCGAAACTTCTAGAGACGGAGACGTACGAAGGAAAACCTGCGGACTATCTTTGGTTGCTGATTGTGAATTCCTCTCTACTCATTGTATGTGCGAGCAAGCTTGTGTTCGGCCCATTCTACTCGAATGTTTATCTCGACTTAATAATACTCCACCTGTATTGTTGTCATTTGATTGCTATTAATATCCTGAGACGGGCGCGCCTTGAGTGGCAACCTACCTTGCACATCGACTATACATTAGTAATAAAGTCTCAGAAAGTAGCTCATAGCACATGCAGTTTTGCAGATTGTTTAGAGTGCCTGGCAGTCTTATACATGCCATACCTTCAATGTAGACCTCAGGGAACATATACAGTACTGCGAGGGATTGTGGATGAGCTTGCTCAGTGTTCACATGCTGTAGGGAGTGTATGTGCTGTTGCGTCCATGCTCAGGATTGAATTGTACTGTATGGCGCAGCCTAAGATCTACAAGCGTAGCGATAGCATGTTCGTAGTTTGCACGCGCACTCTATTTGATCGTTGAATGTCATCAATTACAGTCTCTTGCACCTCTTCTTCTTATCAAGACTTGACATTTATGTACTCGTAGTAGACCATGGACAACTAAATCAATATTTTGGCTGTTTGACGACGTTCTGCAATACACCTTTCTGTCTCGTTTCAAGTGCTGAGTACCTCATTCTGTTTACCACAGTTCACCACTTTTCTTCTCCCATTTTTTATATAATTGTTAAGAAATAGCGGTCAATTTAGTTCATTATGTATGAAACATGTTTGAATAGTTGGCTAATCGCGCATCTCGTCCCTATTTCAGATTTTTGGATTTCTGTGGCCGCTGCGTGTCCTGTCCATCTCTCTGCTGCTGTCATTGGTCTATGTTTGGTGTCAACTCAACAAGGACACGGTGGTCAGCTTCTTCTTTGGTCTTCGATTCAAGGTTAGTGCTTCGTTTAAGATAAGAAACCTTCGTCTGGTGTGTTGTGTTTCCTGGTTTCGTGCTCTACCGTCTCCTTATATCTAATTTGCTTGCTCTGTATTCCACTCACATAACTGCTGCGTACACAACATCCAATTGTAATACTTTATTGGATTTCCCGTGCACACTAAGCGTTCGCACTAAATCTCTGATCGGCAAACCACCGCTGATGGTCGTACATTCCAATCATAAAACAACAGGCTCAGTATTTCCCGTGGGTACTGATGGGCTTTAACATCCTGATGGGTGGATATCCTCTGCTGGAATTCATTGGTGTGATGATCGGGCACAGTTTCTGGTTCATTACGTACTACTTCCCAGAGAATAATGGTTGGAGTCCGCTACCTACACCCGAATTTCTGTATGTTGTTCTACAATAATGTTTCACTCCGCGTGGCTTATTTTCGGTATTATATATATATATATATGTGTGTGTGTGTGTGTCTATATATATGTGTGTGTGTATGTAAACATTCATTCCCAATTGAGTGGGATGGTCGGGATAGTGCCCCCGTTCAATTTTTATAAAGTGCTCTCGAGTATAACGGGAGCTTCATAAGCCGTGTTCCAATTGTGTGTTCAATTGTTTGGCAGAGCTTAATACATAGTGATTTTGGCCATTCAAACCTATATTAATCCAGTTTGCCGTCGTTTACGCTATAAAATTGTATTGATGTCGAGGTGTGAGAGCTGAGTGAATGTTATGTGTATCGTATGCTTGCGTAATCGCTTGACTACTCATGCACCCATCGAACTGCCAATACTTGAATGACATGCACCCAAAAAGGGGAAAAAGTGAAAATGAGGAATTCAACTGTCACCGTCAGCGTGGCGGATCAGAATGAAAAGGGACTAGTCAAACACATACTTGTCTACATCTCGGCATGGGCCGGTTTCATCACCCAATACAACCTATTTAATGTGCACACACAGTGTTATTAACAGAACTACTACCCTTCAATACAATATGTTTCCTTAAAACTGACTGGTACCAGTTTGTACCTGTCTTCGCACATACATCGGCTGCAGTACCTGCATCGCGGAACCTCTTGACTTACACTGTACAGCACGCATATATTTTCTATCTGCTCTGTGGCACCTCACCTCCATTTCATATCTAGCTGCGGTCTCGCAATCGGGTGTTTAGTACTCATATTTAGTTGCTTACGACTGGGTCTGATCAACCAACCTCACCGTGTCCCGTCAATTCGCCAATTGTAAATGCTACTGCTCATGATCATCCACAGGATGTACAGTACTCAAGTAAACCTGGTTTACATATCATTCTCTCTGGGGAAAAAGTATTCAAGATTACTAATATCGCTTCCGTGCACATGCACGAATAGGCGTGAATATTTCCCAGACAGGCGTCTGATATCTGGCACACACGGGGCGCCAGTGGACCGTGGAGCTACATTCGAACAAAGAGCCGCCGCGGGCAATGTGCGGCAGGTATGTGGTTGAGTTTTGTGTCGGGCCAAAGGTGTCGGCTAAGTCTTAAGTTGTGTATTTGCGTTAGCATATGTATTATCGTTCTATATCTAAGCTTGATCTACAGTTTACATCACTATCGTTACACTACATCGAATTTGGACTGCCAAGTCATTCGCGCAGGTCAGCGCGCGGGCTTCTCTATATATGATCGCTTGATGCTTTTCTCTGAAAGATGTGCCTTGATAATGTAGTCCAGAACGTTCTTACCTGCAGTTTCTGACGTTCTTTGTCAGATTGGTTATGTGCATGCGTTCACTAATTTTTCCCTTCCAATTCGACAGAGAGGATACGACTGGGGTGCTGGACAAGCGCTAGGCAACTAAATACATTAAATACATATCATGATGAAAGCAGATGAAGGAGCGTGAGCGTTTCAGAAGAGTGTCTCTGCCACAAACCGGGCGAAAGGCGACTCGACGATCGCTCACCTGAGGGCCGTGCAATTGTGGTACAACTATGTCTATCACTTGCAAAGTATATCGATATTGTAAATAAAAATCAGCAAGTGGGTCGAGTGATGCAGTTGACTGTCTCGGTATGCTGCAAATACACCAGTGACTGTGGGAGTATTGGATTTGCGGACAGCTCCTACGGTTCGCTTATCATCTATAATCCACCGGGGCTTCTGACCAACTCGGGATAAAAATAAATGCAAAACGGACTATGTCCAAACTACGTATGCACATCCATATACAGACAATTTTTGAGGTTTATTGGGTAGCTTTAAACAAGTTTATGAGGTTGTTGAGCAGCTTTAATGCTCTACAAGACTATTGTCAAAATACCATTTCCATAGTATTGAGGTCCGTGTAGTTGAACTTGTTCCCTTGTTCTGACTGCAACGGCGCAAACATCATAGATGTTAGTGCGCGCGGTGACCGTGGGCTGGACGGGGTTGGGCGACCCAATCGAGGACAGTATGAGCTGTCTGAGTTTATCCTAACGAAGGGGCTATCAAGCTCGCCGGTGGGTGATAGTTTATGTATGAAGTTCCGACTTTTGTTCGACGGCAAGAGGTCGCTTTGCTGTCGGCAGCCGATGCCTCCGGCTTGTGTTGATTTCGTTTGCTGTATCTCTAGATGTGTTCACTGACGTAGCCATTTTGTCTGTACCACGCGCAGCCAGATTCTCCTTACCACAACAAGTAATATACCTATTTTGGCTGTGACTATCTGTATGTTGTTGTTGAGAATCTATCCGTTGCTCTGATAAATCTATCCGTCGTCCGCTTATGTCAGTTCGTTGTCCACCCGTCGATTCCGCCTGATCTTGTTGCTCTGTACGCGTCCCCACCGGTGTGGAATGCTGAAATTGTAAGTCCGCATCTTTATCTGATGTTTGTTGGCTGCGTTTATTTCCAAAGTATAAGTCGATCGTGAAATCTTCAAGCGCTATGATATTCTGTCTGCGAATAGCCTGTGTTGGGTCTGAATTTTGTTTTACAAGTCTGCTTGAACCTATGGAATTTGGTAATCTGGCTTTAGTCAATTTAGGAGGTGGTGCATTGGTATACATTTTATGCATCGCAAAGGCCATAATTCTAATTCTGATGCGAATACCGATGCAAAATTGCCTAAAATACAAATAAGAAAGAAGATGGCTTCTGTTTCACTTAAATAGGTCTAGAAAGAAATTTGTGTACATGAAAGTACTGTATGTAACTGCATGAACCTTGTCATTCCTATTAATTTCTACATAATGATCTCAGCATTCCAACTCTCAACTGCAGTTTAGCATCCCGTACATAGGCTTTACTTCAACTAATATATACAATATTATTCTTATATTACATTACGAATGTGACTCGCTAGAGCACATCTGTACAGAAGACGATAGAACTTATCCTTTAAACCCCCTTTAAAGAGGTCCTCAAGGCTCAAGGTTCAAGTTTCTTAGAGGCCGAGTCGCCGAGGCCCGAGAGTGGGAAACTGGGGAAACCGGAACCCGGCATCTCTCGAGTAGAGGTCCAGGAGTCCAGTCACTTGAGAGATCTCGACGATAGTTCTATAGTAGGCAATCGTTTTTAATCACCAGTTCTATTTACGGACATCACATCAGAATGCCCAAACCTCAAATGTCCTCAATCCGCTATTACCTTTTAGAAAAAACCCAATAATTAAAAAAGGAGTCCAATAATTGAACGTTTTTAATACGCTTATTTACTTGATTTACAAACTTTAGCAACGTATACGCAACAAAAGACGTGAAAAAACCTATTTACCTATTATTCAAATTAAATGGTCACCGTATCAATGATCTTCGAACATTTTAAACCTCAGAGCTCCGAATATGCACCCGTAGAGCGAGCACCATAGGGCCAACCGACTTAAACATAACACGAATTCAAAGTTTACACCATGGCCTTCTGTAAAATTTAGGTTATGAAAAAAACGTATTGCGGACCTGAAGCATTTGTGATTTTTTTTTAAATATGACTGAAATTTGAGGCAAAAAAATGTAGCCTTCTTCTGAAATCAAACACGAAATACATTCTTTTCTTTTATACTGCTACATATTTACTTTTTTTTAAAAGATAAATTCTTGTTTTATTTTAGTAGGCTACATACATATGTATTTTGGTATAAGATTTTTTTTATGATTTTTTTTATAAAAACCCCAAACCAATAGTGGTTTTTTTAAATTGAGAGTGTTATGATTTATTTTTTAAAAACCCAATATATTTATGAAGTCATGAACCAGTTCATATAAAAAATTCATTCCAAAAATGTCATTTGAAGAAGGCTATAAAAAAACTCTTTGTGAGTCATCATATGTTTTTAAAAGTGATTTTTTTTAATTATGATATATTATTACCTTTTTGCTTTTTTATATCGTCTTATATATAAATATAAATAGCTTTTTTATTTGATCCTGTCGTTTTTGCAATGTAAAATTTCAGTGGTGGGTAGATAGGTTCTCGAGAAAAACTTGAATTTAAAAACAACCAAGTTGAGATTTGCTACAAGAATACGTATAGAATGCGTTTCAAACTTTTAATGTTGAAAGGAATTGACTCCTACTTCCAGGAGAGTTTTAGGATTTAGGGTTTAATTATTATAATAAACATTTGTGTTGTAAACTATAATTATGGAAAATTGGTGTACGTTGTAAATACATCTAAGAATAGAAGCTGTAAGTTGTAAATTTAAAACAATTGGCATATGTTGTATATTACACTCGGTAAAATAAAACATTTCTAAATATATCAATGATCATGAAAGTCGCAATATAATTTTTAAACCTGTGCTCATAAAACCAAAACCCGGGGGCAAACTGACAAACAAAAGCAAACCTTTTTAAATAAGCCTAAAAGTATAAAGAATAAAAAAACTTACCCAATTGCAAACGCCGATCGCAGAACGAACTGACATGATGTAAATCTCACATACATGATACAGGGACTTAACGGTCAACTGTGTCATAGTGCGACGCAAGCTTATACGGAATAGCAATAAGCCCAAGCTGACTGCACATTCGCGAACACTGCTGTACACCAATTTAAAGATATCATATTCTACTTTATAACTTAAATGACGATCAGAATAATCTTGCCTTAAAGCTGTGGGTGATACAGCAACCTGCGCGCATTGCGCGGACGTGCAATCCACTGCAGAGCACGAATAGTAGCGGTACATACTGCAAATCATAAAATCTCTGGTGACATCTTATATATTGGGTTTGGACAATAGGATCCGTTGAATAGTGCTAATTACCGTCCTTTTTGGAGCTACACTGCATTATAAAAACATAGCACCATGGTGGACGATACGTCACTAAAGTCCACATCAGACCGGACAGGGTCCGTATCTACATTCTTGCAGAAGGTGTTGGCGATGGTGGAAGAGTCCGAAAGCAGCAACTTGGTAGCCTGGACTCCTAACGGAGAAAGCTTCCGGGTTTACGACCCCGTCCCATTTGCTAAAGAAGTGCTTCCGCGGTTTTTTAAACACTGTAACTTCTCCAGTTTTGTGAGGCAGTTAAATATGTATGATTTCCACAAAGTCATGGATGTTCAGCAGGGGGCACTGTCGGCAGCCAGGTCAAAGGAGTGGGAGTTCATTCACCCAAATTTTAAACGCGGGCAGGCCCAACTGCTAGCCTTGGTGAAGCGCAAAGCAGGGTCCACAGAGGGTACCAAACCCAAGGGCGAGAACTTGAAAAGGGTTATGAGTGAGGTGCAAGCAATGCAGGAACAGCAGGCCGTCGTGGCACAAAAGTTGGAGCACCTGGACACCGACAACCGCATCATGTGGAATGAGATGGTGAAGCTTAAGAGCAGACACCAGCAACAGCAACAAACTATCAATAGAATCTTGTATTTCTTGAGCTCTATATATTCGTCGGACAATCTGCCGAATCAGCTGAGAGACACGGACGATGTACTGCAACTGCAAGGCCAGGGACAGAACAACGGGCCTGGAGGGCAGTCGAACACATCGTCGTTATTACAGAACACCCCTTCCTTCAGCAATGCGCGTGGTAATCCAATGCAGCCGCCGTCCAGCTACAACAATCTGGCGGAGCAGCTTATGGAGTACACCAATGTAAGTAACAACGGGGGTGGGGGTATGATGAACGCATTAGGAAATAGCCCTGCACTCGCTGGAGGGGGTAATGGTGGTGTGGGCAATAGGTCGAACTCGGGTTTGGGCAACAACGTTATTAACAATACCGGTCTGGGTTCAAACATCCCTATGGGTGGCAACAATTCGGGGGCGGGGGGTAATAACACCTCGATGATGTCCGGTAATAATGCAATGAACGTCAATAATCCAGGGTTAAGCAACAATAACGGTAACATGGCTGCGGTGATGAGGTCAGGGAATGGTATAGGGGTAAATAACTTGGGTAGTAACCAGGGTATGGGGGGGAACAATTTCTCGGGCTTGCAAAATGACAACGTGAACTACTTGAATAACCGCAGTTCAATCAATAACTCATCGTCTCAGAATAACCTGGGCAATTCTAATTCTAATAACCTAGGATCACGCGCAAACGGTGCGAGACTGTCGGTGGGCGGCGGTTCGGGTATGGGCAATGACTCTAAGATGAATTTAGCGCAACACAATTCGAATATGGGCCAAAACAATGCAGGATTGAACGGATCGAATACACCGTATGGTATGGGAGGAAATAATAATAACATGCCGTACAATACAGCCTCCCCGAATTTGCCCTATACCGACTTCCAACTGGCGAATATGGGAATGGGGGATGGCCAACAGAACTGATAAGGCAGTTACCTTCCATATTTCCACGGAAATATATTCATATCTACTATCCAATCCGATTAGTATGGCTTTTGCTTACCACGCCAGCGTGTAAAGGCGTACTCGGATAACTCTACAATACTGGTTATCACTACAACTGTGTGTGTGTGGTATAAAGATGATTGGACTTGTTTACGTAACGTCTTAAAAAGTCACTTTGATGCATTGACACCAGGTCTTTACAACTACAGACATACGCACGCCGAGTATTTGGTTGGTCCAGGCCGGATATTTATAGTTGATGATCTAATTATGTACGGAGTAACTGAGTATGCTACAGCCGACATTATATATGCTGAAGTTCACTTAATTTGGTGATCGGACAGCTAGCGTGGCGGTGATACGGGCAATGGGGTTGGCATACAGTAGGAAAGAACGGTTGCGGATTATTGAGGCTGTTTAATACAAGTCTGCACGAAGCGCGCCAGTTTTGCATTGTTTTTTCATAGATGCAGGCTTGTGCAAAAACCCTGGTCTCTGTACCCTCGACAATAATGCGCATGAATAAGATAATTGTCACGGAAATATGGGAAGTTGACATGATTTGTAGCAGAATACTGTCTGGCCTGAAGCACAAGGCCGGAATCTAGGGTACTACTATTTGAGGATCGAAGTAGACGGCCTATAGATTCTTGGATGACGTTGATGTCTATGATAAGCAGCAATACGTGTATTTACTATTCTAATTTAAGCAGGCTTGCCATGCCACGAGTAGTCAAGATTGTAATTTCATGTCAGAAATGGATGGGTTAATGAGAAACACTGTGCGGTTTGAGCTTATACGAATTCTTTCTTCGAAGACACCGAGCCATGAACTTAGGAAGAGTTCGAATTAGACAGTATGCGTTCAAATGCACAAGGCGCTTGCTTTTGCGTTCTAATGCGCATGACGCTCTCTCTTGGCTTTACGCTGGACCAGTGATTCTTGGATCCGTTCATCTATATAAAGTAACTAAGCTAGATTTTGGCGTTGTAAATTGTAAGGTTTAGCTTGTGGAAATTATAAATATATATATATATATAAACGACGACTATGACCGCAAATTGAACTCAATAGTCATAACGTACACACGTCGTATTGTATTTGGTTTGGAATATTTAGGTAATGTAGTGTGTACGATTCATAAGCTGCAATTGAACACACTTTTGTAACCTTGAAAGTCCTTATAAAACTCCGCACTGTGAAACTGTTATTTAAATGTCAGGTTCGACGAGGGTAGCTAACATGAATACTTGTATTTCTAAGCCAGCTACAATGCTTTAGAATTGAAAACTGGAGGTTGTTAAGTATTATCCGCCTTTTCAATCTCCGAACATTATCCGAGGCTTAATATCCCCAATGCGTATCAGTTAAATAGGCAAAGGCGAATTCAACAGAAACAGGCCGATGCACTACCGTTTGAGTGGTCTGTCAGCTATATATATATATATATATATATATATATATGTATATGATATATATATATATATATGTGTGTGTGTGTGTGTGTGTGTGTGTGTGTGTGTGTGTGTGTGTGTGTGTGTGTGTGTGTGTGT